ATATATATATATATATATATATATATATATATATATATATAAATATATATAATAATATATATATATATATATATATATATATATATATATATATATATAATATATATAAAAAATTGGGAGATCAGCCGAACAGGCTATCTTGGTTTCAACCCTTCAGTATCTTCAGACAATCCGGGCTTTTATTATTTAAAAATAAATAAACGTACAATGTGAAGCTTAATCGAAATTGAAGGGGAGGAGAAAAGCAAGGGCATTGAAATTGTATCACAGGTGGGGTTTATATATATATATATATATATATATATATCTCGCCTGAGGTGCTAACCATTTAGTTACAGTGGAAGTTTAGTTTGGTTAGTAAAGTCAAATAAAGGGAAATTTGTTTTTATATATATATATATATATATATATATATATATATATAGGGCGAGGGAGAGAGTGAGTGACCTCAAGTGGAACTCGTAAATACGACCCGTCTCTAAAGATGCTGGGAAAATGTTCGGTTCCCTGTACTACTCTAGTCGGTACCCGACTCCTGCTTTCCTCCACCTTTAAAAGAACCAGGTTAGGCCAAAAATGGAGTATTGCTGCTATATCTGGGCAGGAACTGTATAGTTTTCATTTTGATAGAGTCTACATTTTTCTTTTCTTAAAACATACACACACACACACACAAAATAACAGAAATATCTCACCTTCTTTCCATGACACACCAACCACACAATGGGTCACTGTCTGCAATACATTCTTTGCAAGTTTTTTTAGAATTACAATCCTGGAAATCTATCATGGTCACCTATGAAGAAAAGAAAGCAAAAAAGAAAAAAAAATTGTTAGAAAACTTCATAATGTTGATCTCAATTTGTCAGGTTCAATTGCTGTTCTTTTTCAGAAAGACACATTTCAACAATTTCAACATATAATTTGAATTCACATATTACATATTGGCTTCAGTCAATTTCATGCAGAATTTGCAATATTATTGATCTTGACCTGGCATCTCACCTTCAGACAATTCCCTAGAGCTGTAATGTAGCTTCCCTCTGCCTTTTCTAGAATTATTTTCATGGTAATTGTTCCGAGCAACTTTCCTCTTTAGTGTCTAGACTTTGTAAATTTAAGCACGTACTAGATTGGCAGTTAGGTCTCATAATTTTACAGTTGCAATAGCTAGATGTAAATATAAAATCTAGCTAACAGTTTCTTCTCATATTCTCTCACACGCAGTAATCTTGCATCTTAGTGGCTATATTGCCTTGCTTGGGAGGGTGAAATGAATAAAAAGTCTATTCACATACTTGTTAGATTAAATTCTTTATTTATTGTTTATTGGAATGGTTGGAAAAACATTGTCTAATTGCCAATTGATTCAAACTTTATAAAATGGTAAATAATAAGGATTTCCTTAGAGTTGGTTCACATATTTGAATAATTTAGTAAATGTTTATAAATTTATGAATAAAAAGTTGTTTACATATTTATTTTTGTATTAATTGGTAAATAATAAATATTGCATTGCATTAGTTTTAATTGTATTAGTTTTTAGAAAGTTGTAAATATAAAATTATTCTTGTAATTAAAAAATCTAATAAATAAATAACTTTTAATATATTAGTTGTAAATTCTCAAGAACAAAAAATGTATAAATTCATTTTCATCATATATCCAGGTTTTTATTACAATTCTAATCATTGCTGATTAAAAAAATAAATATTGCTGAGGAGTGAAGGTAGTTTTTAATTAGGGTCATGGCCACAAAGTATTGTCTGTATTCGAATATTAGGAATATTTCTATTTTAAGCAAGTTCTATGCTGTCTGCAATAATGCCAGTTACACACGATTTATAATAGCATTATAAGAAAAATTCTTGAAAATGGAAAAGAGGTTAGACGAAAGTGCTCAGAATCAACAAACCTTTTGGGGAGCCTTTACATTCACTAAGTCGAGAAAAGAAAACATTTGAACGCATAAAAGAAGTGTGTGTGTGTGTGTGTGTGTGATGGAGGGAGTGTTTAAGAGAAAGGGAGTGTGTGTGTATGTGTGAGAGAGAGAGAGAGTGATTAAGTGCATGAGAGAGAGAGAGAGGAGAGAGTGTGAGTGAGTGTGCGTGTTCGTGCATGCGTGTGTGGGAAAGATTGTCAGCAAATAATTACTTCATTTTATTCATAAGATAAATAAAAAAAACAAACAACAAAAAAAAGTTGCTAAAATTCAAACTTTCCAACCTTTTCTTCGGACATCGAATAAAGATATTGGTGGTTCCGGCTAAAGAATATTTCTTTCAGAATTGGACGTCCGGGATCCATTGGCAACTCTTCAAGAATCTGGGATTGGTTATTTTCACGAACAATCACCTAAAGAGAAAAAAAAAATGAAATTCTCAGACTTGGACAAATAAAATATTTACATAAAATTTAATGGATTATCTTTGTCTGGTGTTAGTAGTTTTGTTTTGTATATGAAATCTGTCCAGAAATATTTGCTTGGTTTTGTTTACTGGCATATCAACACTTTTATGGATTATTTAATGCCGAAATCAAAATATTTTGAACACCATTTTATGGCTTCAAGTAAATATATTTTTTACTTGTGTGTATATGTGTGTTATATATATATATATATATATATATATATATTTAAAGATATTTTGTAGGTACAAAATTTAATGATCGAAATAAAAGTATAAAACTTAATATTACGAGATATATTTAAAAAAAAAACGGGTGAAGCAACCGGTTTTGCACCCGCTCTTCAGGCTTCAACGGGAGATTTAAAATTAACACAGAAAAATGTACAATAAAAGGAAGTTGTGTGTGTATATATATATATATATATATATATATATAAATAAATGTACAAAGTCTGACAATTATTTTAAGACATTTTTTTGTTTGTACGTTCTTTTTATAGATATAAATGCTCTGTAATTAACGACATTTACGGCCTGAATGTTCAAGAAATTTTCATAGAAAATATGCGTGCTCCGACAGCAATCGAAATACAGTAAAGTCGAACTTGCTAACCAAAACGATCCTTTGTGGCTCAATTGGTAAAAGCATGTCAGGCTATATGACGGTTCCGTATAGGATACAGGTTTGATTTTCTATGAAAATTTCTTGGACATTCAGGCCAGTAAATGTTGTTAATACTGTTTATTATAGTCGGAGCATTTACTTAAATATTTGTATCTATAAAAAGAACGTATATACATAAAAATGTCTTTATATATATATATATATATATATATATAATTATTAAAAATTACATCGTACTGTTTTAGGGCGACTTCACTGGATTGATGTTTATATGACGGTTGAATGTTGATTTGATGTAGGATCTAGTTGAGAATGTGAGACAGAAAAAAATTGGGGAGGATGAATGAGTGGCCTTGGATATATAGAAAGCAAGAACGACATAGAAATATGGTTTGGTTTAGTTGAATTTGTTTAGCGGCATATCAACACCTCCATGGCTTATTTAATGCCGAAATCAAAATATTTTGAACTCAATTTTATTGCTTCAACGAAATGTATTTTGAATGCAATTGTTTGCGTTCAACTACAGATAAAATCCATTGCTGGCCATTTTGCTTTTATAAATGTATTGTTGGTCATTTTGCTATAAAATGTAATGTTGTTTATTTTACTATAAATTGATGGTAATTTTATACTTGAATATTGTTTCTGTTTGGATGTTCACTATTTGCCCATAACTGGGACCCTAACATGTGCTACCACCCTGTGTCAAGGTAGACCTGTGGAACAACAGCATTTAAGAGGTGGTTCTATGCTCCTCAAAATCTCCAATCTGGTGCCTTGCTGCCGGATGTAGCTTATTGTCATACTCAGGACTAGACCTGAAATGAATTGTCAGCCAAGGTTATTTTACCCATAGCTGAGAGGAGGAGAGATAGCTTTCCCAAGGGTATTAACACGTAAGTGAATGTAATGAACTTGACCGAAATTCAAACTCGGCTCACCAATTCCTCAATCTGAGCCACTAACCATTGCTCTATCAGGTATTCAGGAAATCTGGAATGTAACAATTTGATCCACTAGGATTAAATCCTGAAGTTAGAATTTGGAGCCATACGCATAATCTCCTCTGTGTTAATACCTTACTTTGAAGTTTAACCGCCTTTGACATGTACTATATTGTCAAACTCAGTGGAGCAACTTAATGGTACAAAAATGAACAAGATATCCCTAAAAAAATGGTCAGATCATTTAAAGTGGGTCAGGTTGAGCACATGGAGAGAAGATGAATTCAGTAAATATATAAAATTAGAAATAAGTGTAAGACAATGATATGTCTTCTCGCCAGATTTATACAACCTATACAGTGAAGCGATTCTGAGTCCTACCAGGATTCATTATTGGTGATCACAATCTTAACAACATAAGATATGAAGATGACACAGTGTTGATAGCAGACATGGAAAGGAAACTACAAGAACTCCTAAAGAAAGTAGTGAAGGAAAGCAAGTAAAAGAGGAAAAGAGTACTGAACTGTTATGTAATATCAGTCCTTCTATATGGCAGTGAATACTGGACAATCTCATCACAGATGAAGAAGAGACTTGAAGCAACAGAAACAAAGAAAAAAAGTACTGAAATGTTATGTAATATCAGTCATCCTATATGCCAGTGAATGCTGGACAATTTCCTGAGATGAAGAAGAGACTTGAAGCAACAGAAACAAAAGAAAAAGTACTGAACTGTTATGTAATATCAGTCCTTCTATATGGCAGTGAATGCTGGACAATCTCATCACAGATGAAGAAGAGACTTGAAGCAACAGAAACAAAGAAAAGAGTACTGAAATGTTATGTAATATCAGTCATCCTATATGCCAGTGAATGCTGGACAATTTCCTCACAGATGAAGAAGAGACTTGAAGCAACAGAAACAAAGAAAAGAGTACTGAACTGTTATGTAATATCAGTCCTTCTATATGGCAGTGAATGCTGGACAATTTCCTCACAGATGAAGAAGAGACTTGAAGCAACAGAAACAAAGAAAAGAGTACTGAACTGTTATGTAATATCAGTCATCCTATATGGCAGTGAATGCTGGACAATTTCCTCACAGATGAAGAAAGAGACTTGAAGCAACAGAAACAAAAGAAAAGAGTACTGAACTGTTATGTAATATCAGTCATTCTATATGCCAGTGAATACTGGACAATCTCCTCACAGATGAAGAAGAGACTTGAAGCAACAGAAACAAAGAAAAGAGTACTGAAATGTTATGTAATATCAGTCATCCTATATGGCAGTGAATGCTGGACAATCTCCTCACAGATGAAGAAGAGACTTGAAGCAACAGAAACAAAGAAAAGAGTACTGAACTGTTATGTAATATCAGCCCTCCTATATGCCAGTGAATGCTGGACAATTTCCTCACAGATGAAGAAGAGACTTGAAGCAACAGAAACAAAGAAAAGAGTACTGAAATGTTATGTAATATCAGTCATCCTATATGGCAGTGAATGCTGGACAATTTCCTCACAGATGAAGAAGAGACTTGAAGCAACAGAAACAAAAGAAAAAGTACTGAAATGTTATGTAATATCAGTCATCCTATATGCCAGTGAATACTGGACAATCTCCTCACAGATGAAGAAAGACTTGAAGCAACAAAACAAAGAAAAGAGTACTGAAATGTTATGTAATATCAGTCATCCTATATGGCAGTGAATGCTGGACAATTTCCTCACAGATGAAGAAGAGACTTGAAGCAACAGAAACAAAGAAAAAGAGTACTGAAATGTTATGTAATATCAGTCATCCTATATGCCAGTGAATACTGGACAATCTCCTCACAGATGAAGAAGAGACTTGAAGCAACAGAAACAAAAAAAAGAGTACTGAAATGTTATGTAATATCAGTCATCCTATATGGCAGTGAATGCTGGACAATCTCCTCACAGATGAAGAAGAGACTTGAAGCAACAGAAACAAATGGAGTACTGAACTGTTATGTAATATCAGTCCTCCTATATGCCAGTGAATGCTGGACAATTTCCTCACAGATGAAGAAAGAGACTTGAAGCAACAGAAACAAAGAAAAAAGTACTGAAATGTTATGTAATATCAGTCATCCTATATGGCAGTGAATGCTGGCCAATTTCCTCACAGATGAAGAAAGACTTGAAGCAACAGAAACAAAAGAAAAAGAGTACTGAAATGTTATGTAATATCAGTCATCCTATATGGCAGTGAATGCTGGACAATTTCCTCACAGATGAAGAAGAGACTTGAAGCAACAGAAACAAAGAAAAAGAGTACTGAAATGTTATGTAATATCAGTCATCCTATATGGCAGTGAATACTGGACAATCTCCTCACAGATGAAGAAGAGACTTGAAGCAACAGAAACAAAAGAAAAGAGTACTGAAATGTTATGTAATATCAGTCATCCTATATGGCAGTGAATGCTGGACAATTTCCTCACAGATGAAGAAAGAGACTTGAAGCAACAGAAACAAAGAAAAGAGTACTGAAATGTTATGTAATATCAGTCATCCTATATGGCAGTGAATGCTGGACAATTTCCTCACAGATGAAGAAGAGACTTGAAGCAACAGAAACAAAGAAAAGAGTACTGAAATGTTATGTAATATCAGTCATCCTATATGCCAGTGAATACTGGACAATCTCCTCACAGATGAAGAAGAGACTTGAAGCAACAGAAACAAAGAAAAGAGTACTGAAATGTTATGTAATATCAGTCATCCTATATGGCAGTGAATGCTGGACAATTTCCTCACAGATGAAGAAGAGACTTGAAGCAACAGAAACAAAGAAAAGAGTACTGAAATGTTATGTAATATCAGTCATCCTATATGGCAGTGAATGCTGGACAATTTCCTCACAGATGAAGAAGAGACTTGAAGCAACAGAAACAAAGAAAAGAGTACTGAAATGTTATGTAATATCAGTCATCCTATATGCCAGTGAATACTGGACAATCTCCTCACAGATGAAGAAAGACTTGAAGCAACAGAAACAAAAGAAAAAGAGTACTGAAATGTTATGTAATATCAGTCATCCTATATGGCAGTGAATGCTGGACAATTTCCTCACAGATGAAGAAGAGACTTGAAACAACAGAAACAAAGAAAAGAGTACTGAACTGTTATGTAATATCAGTCATCCTATATGGCAGTGAATGCTGGACAATTTCCTCACAGATGAAGAAGAGACTTGAAGCAACAGAAACAAAAGAAAAGAGTACTGAAATGTTATGTAATATCAGTCATCCTATATGCCAGTGAATACTGGACAATCTCCTCACAGATGAAGAAGAGACTTGAAGCAACAGAAACAAAGAAAAGTACTGAAATGTTATGTAATATCAGTCCTCCTATATGGCAGTGAATGCTGGACAATCTCATCACAGATGAAGAAGAGACTTGAAGCAACAGAAACAAAGAAAAGAGTACTGAACTGTTATGTAATATCAGTCCTTCTATATGGCAGTGAATGCTGGACAATCTCCTCAAATCTGAAGAAGAGACTTAAAGCAACAATGTGGTTCTACAGAAGGATGTTAAGAATTAAATGTACTGAACATATGAGCAACGACAAAGCTTTGGAGAAAATGGAGACAAAAAGGAAACTTAAACTTAACATCAGGAAGAGACAGTTGAAATTTTTAGTGCACATCATGAGGAAAGAGGGTTTCGAAAATATAATACTTACAGGACAGATTGAAGGCAAGAGGGAAAGAGAAAAATCGGTCCATAACTTACCCAGAGAGCTTGTGTAAATGGATGGCAAAAGAAGGTTTAGGAAAGATAAAAATAAAAAAAATTGTTAAGAGCTGCGAAGGACAGGACATTGCGTATTGCAGAGGGTTTCAACTTTTTCACATGGTAAAATTTTCAACCAACCACCTGTATAGTAAATATTCAAAAACATACCAAAATTATTTGGTAAAAGATTGTTACCGGTTGATTATTTTTTATTTTTTTTAAATCAATCTTCATCCAATACAAGGCCTAAGGGTCACTCAAGGTAGAGTGTTACTGTGTGGAGTTGTATAAGTGTAAGAAAGGACAAGACAAGAGGAAATATAGACAGCTAATTCTAGACTTGAAGAGGTCAAATTAGTGAATAAAATTTTAGAGTTCAGGTGGAAATGCAAGGAGAATAGAGTTGAAGTATTCCTAAACAGAAAACAAGGGATACACTTCTACTTCTGTTAAAATGAAAGTGGGGGGGGGGGACTAGACGATGGTGAACCTGTCAACTCCTATTGTGGGTGGGAGGAATAATTAGTGAAAAACAATTTATAAACTAACTTTGAGATGTAGGAAAAAAAATACCAAAAGGAAAGTAACAAAAAACATGGAAATACAGTGGCGGGCAGCTGCTGGTATGGTATTGAAGAACAAATGAATGCAAATTTAACCACTGAAAACTATATATATATATATATATATATATATATATATATATATATATATTAGTAAAAGTAATAAATCCATTGGTATACAATCCAAGTGGATCCTAGTAATATAAAATATTAAACTGATCCACCTTCCACCCTCCTCTGACCACTGTCTTTTGCCTTTCGTCTGACTGAAACATTGAAATGGATAAATTCTGTATTAGTTTGTCAATGTTTTTTTTTTCAGCTTTCATAGTTAAATTTCTATTTCCGACACAAACTCTGTCTCCACGGGGGTTGAATAAGACTGACGAATATTTTCGTCGGTCGAAATAAGCTTAATCCCCATGTGAAGTGATTTGTGATTGTATTATATATATATATATATATATATATATATATATAAAAATTTAGTTTTATGGTTAGGTTTAATTTTTCTTCATAATTATAAAAGTAAAAAGAATATACACTGCTAGCAACAAATAATAATTCAGCAAATATTTTTCTTCCGTCTAATACTGAAGCACAATTTAAATGTGAATGACCCTTCTCAAAACTATAGAAAATGCCCAAATATTCCTTGTTTGTGGGGATATTTATATTTTATCTAAGAATGTGACCCACTTATTCCCTTTAAACTTTCTGTTTTTTTTTAATACAGGTTCCTCGCATTTGAATATTTTTTACGGGTAGCATATGTTGAAATAACATTTTAATACTCAAAATCCTCTATCACCCACAATAATTTCCAATCATCCACCATTTTCTGTTCAATTGCCCATCGCCCACCTGACAGTTGAAATTGCCCACTGGTGGGCGGTATCGCCCAGATTCCGGAACTCTGGTGTAGAACCATAATTGCCAATATCTTGAAGCTTCCCAAGATGAAGAAATTGACAGGAAAGCAAGAATCTGGAAGAGAATTCCATAGGTGAAAAGTGCGAGTTATAAAATTTTTCACTTACTTTATATATTTATATCTTATCTAGGATGTAATTTCCAATCGTCCACCATTTTCTGTTTAGTTGCTCATCATCACCCACCCAGCAGTTGAAATCGCCCACCGGTGGCGATATCGCCCATGTTGGGAAACTCTAACATAGTACAATGGCGATAAGTTAGTTTGTAGACTAATATTATTTGGTGAGTTTGATAGATGCAGTAAGTTATTTTTTTATTGTGGCCTTGTGTCATACTAAGCTAAGATTAGTCATTATTATCTACACATTTGTGCGAATTCTAGGTAGATTTTTTTCTCTTTCATGAAGACAAGATGGCTTCAATGAATAAAAAGGACAATCATCTTTGTTTGATCAAAATAAAAAATATTATTAAAAAAACTAGATATTTTTGTACCAGCGGCGAATGTATTGTGATTCATTTTCTGTCTGCTGAAGCAGATTGGACTGACAGAAAAACTTCGGAGATGGTATATTGTCGATGCTAACAAAAGCGTGACAGACAAAGAACTTTGGTTACATTTTCATCACGGGCGCCATTAAGTCTGGTCCCAGAATAATTTTCGCTCAACTCTCTTTCTTATAAGAAAACAATCTAGCCGACTTCGTTCACTTAGTCAAGTTCTAATTTCTGGTATGTCAGTGGTGAGTGTACTTACTAGGTTCTGCCATGACATAGACATCGGCTATGAGGATATTTTGTTATAAAACTGTTCAACCATTACAAGCCCCAAGAGCCACTAATGGTAGAGTATTACCGAATACGGTCACTATAAAGGCGCAAAGAAAGGAGTTAAATATAAAGAGTGCAGCCACTCGTATTCGAGGATGCTAGTCCCCATTACAGACGCCTGCTCAGGCACATTTGTGTTTGTTCAACACCCACAGAGCCCACCTGTGGTTTATACTGCAACTATGCTGAGAAGACCTTAGTTACAGTTACTGAGAGAGAGTGTGCTATCTAGCGTGATGAACAGTATGAACAAGACCAGCACGCTCAGACCCTCGGTCACGATGATGTGTGACTTCGTGCCAGCCTAACCACTGATGTCTCTCAAGGGTTCTGTCTACCCAATTTCACTCACAGGGCTTGCTGCAAACAGTGTGTTTTAGCATACCTATGGATAGTAATGGTATATTGTCGATGCTAACAAAACGTGACAGACAAAGAACTTTGGTTACATTTTCATCACGGTAAACCATTAAGTCTTGTCCCAGATTACGTCGCTCAACTCTCTTTCATATAAGAAAACAATCTAGCCGACTTCGTTCACTTAGGCAGGTTCTAATTTCTGCTATGGCAGTGGTGAGTGTATTTACTAGGTTCAGCCATGACAGACATCGGCTATGAAGATATTAATGTCTCAAGGATATTATATATTAATGTCCTCAAGGACACATGACACAGTGGATAAAGGCGTTGGTTAGATCCAGTGATAGGACCCAAAGAGTGTGAGTTCAATACCCGGTTAAGGCAGTGGAGAACTTTCAGAGGGAAAATTAACAGGAGATAACTGATAACTGACACCCATTAAAACATGGCACGTGGAACTAGAACAGTCTACCCCAGTGAGCGAAATAAAGGGTTCAGTTCGACATTCCAACCACCTGAAGAAGACCGGACCATACAACGGCCGAAACGTTGTAATAAATATGGCGACAAAGATGAGGACAATAGTTCGAATAATGTATATGAATTTTTGTTCATAATTATAAAAGTAAAAAGAATATACACTGCTAGCAACTAATAAAAAAATCAGCGAATATTTTTCTTATGACTCATACTGAAAAATTATTTGAATGTGAATGACCCTTCTCAAAATTATAGAAAATATCAAAATATTCCTTGTTTGTGTGGATATTTATATTTTATCGAAGAATGTGACCCACTTATTCCCTTTAAACTTTCTGTTTTTTTTTAATACAGGTTCCTCGCATTTAAATATTTTTTACGGGTAGCATATGTTGAAATAACATTTTAATACTCAAAATCCTCTATCAACCACAATAATTTCCAATCAGCCACCATTTTCTGTTCAATTGCCCATCGCCTATCCGACAGTTGAAATTGCCCACCGGTGGGCGATATCATCCAGATTCCGGAACTCTGGTGTAGAACCATAATTGCCAATATCTTGAAGCTTCCCAAGATGAAGAAATTGACAGGAAAGCAAGAATCTGAAAAAGGATTCCATAGGTGAAAAGTGCGAGTTATAAAATTCTTCACTTACTTTATATACATATCCTGTGTTGGTTCCAAGAAATATCAATGAAAGGTTCCTTATATTCATTGCTGTGATGGCCGTAAAATAAACTCCACTTTTCTCCAGGATAGGTTTTGCTATGATTGGCTTTTTTCCATCAATGGAAGGATGCGAATCAAAGTCCTTGCCACAAAATTCCAGTGGTTTTTCCTAAAAGAGAAATAAGATATCATTTGTAGAATTTATATTGTCTGACGAACCAAAATGAGGTAATCTTTAACCTACATGCCTGCAAAAAAGCAGAATGTCAAAAAGACGGTTTTTCCCTTGACACCGCTATTATTTTAACTCCTTGGCAATGTTTACTGTTTTGAAAAGCGATGATTAGATTTGTAAAACATATCATGAAAGTGAATTTATGCGTTTTTGTTCCTTAGAATTCACGATAAAAATATGAAACACAATTAGATTCTTTATTTACAAGAATAATTTCTATTTACAACATTCTAAAACAAATACAACTGAAACTAATACAATGCAATTTTTATCATTTACCAATTTATAAAGAAATAAATATGAAAACAATTTTTTATTCATGAATTTATAAACATTTACTAAATTATTCAAATATGTGAACCAACTCTAAGGAAATCCTTATTATTCACCATTTTATAAAGTTTGAATCAATTGGCAATTAGCCGATGTTTTGTCAACCATTCCAAAAATAATCAAATACTGTTTATTATTACAGGTCTTCTCTCCATGTATCATTCTTAATCACCCGAAACCCCAAATCAATTTTGAATACCCAAATATAAATAGATGGTCGGCAAACTTGAACATTTGTACACGTAAAATGACAAAAACAAAACAAAACAAAAAAAAAAAAAAACGGTTTTCTCCATGTCACCACAATTATATTAACTAACTTCACTCTTCGGCAATATTCATTGTTTTAAAAAGTGATGATTAAAATTGCAATAAAACCTAAACATATGATGAAATTGAATTTATACATGTATAATTCATCTACCTTCACTCTTTGGCAATGTTCATTGTTTTAAAAAGAGATTATTAGAATTGGAATAAAACCTAAACATATGATGAATGTGAATTCATACATGTATAATTCATCTACCTTCACTCTTCAGCAATGTTTATTGTTTTAAAAAGCGATGATTAGAATTGGAATAAAACCTAAACATATGATGAAATTGAATTTATACATGTATAATTCATCTACCTTCACTCTTCGGCAATGTTTATTGTTTTAAAAAGCGATGATTAGAATTGGAATAAAACCTAAACATATGATGAAAGTGAATTCATACATGTATAATTCATCTCCCTTCACTCTTTGGCAATGTTAATTGTTTTAAAAAGTGATGATTAGAATTGGAATAAAACCTAAAAATATGATGAAAGTGAATTTATACATGTATAATTCATCTACCTTCACTCTTCGGCAATGTTTATTGTTTTAAAAAGTGATGATTAGAATTGGAATAAAACCTAAAAATATGATGAAAGTGAATTTATACATGTATAATTCATCTCCCTTCACTCTTTGGCAATGTTTATTGTTTTAAAAAGAGATTATTAGAATTGGTATAAAACCTAAACATATGATGAAAGTGAATTTATACATTTTCTTCTTGAGAATTTACAACAAAAATATTGAACACTATTTATTTATTAAATTGTTTATATACAAGCATAGTTTTATATTTTTTCAAGATTATAAAAACTAATACAATTTTTTTTACTGACTGATTGATTCGTTTTCTACAACTTATCGACCATTTGCAGGTTAGTTAAAACTCCCAAAATATTTTTTGATATAATAATGGTTTAGATTTACTAATTAACCCATAGCTGGAGGGAGAAGAGGTGGATTCAAAGGTTTCCTAAGAGTATTTGTGCATAAGTGAATATGATGACCATAACGGGAATTGGAACTCAGCATCCCGATTAATGATTCCAAGCCATTATCCATTACACCATTTGCACGTCGAAGGTTACAGAACCTGGTATTTCCAACTGGTTACCCATCTAGGTACTGACCAAGCTCGAAACTGCTTAACTTCATTAATCATATGAGTTCCAACGTGATGTACCCGCTTTAATACAATTGTATTAAACCTCAAGCAATATTTATCATTTAGCAATTTATAAATTTATCATAGATTTATAAACATTTACTAAATTATTATAATGTGAACCAACTGTAAGAAAATGCTTATTATTTACCATTTTATAAAGTTCGAATCAATTGGCAATTAGCCGACGTTTTGCCAACCATTCCAATAAACAGTCTAATAATGTTTAATATTTTTGTTGTAAATTCTCAAGAACAAAGGAAAAAAATTTTCATATATTTAAGCTTTATTCCAATTCTAAATCATTGCTTTTTAAAACAATAAACATTACCAAGGTTTTTTGTTTTGGTCTATTTTGTTTTATGGCATATCAACCTCAATGGGTTATTTAATGCCGACAAAATTTTTTATTGCTGGTAATATTTTGTTTTGTCAAAAATCTGTTTCTGGTAATAATTTTTCTTCAAAATTTTATTGCTGGTAATAATTTTTTTCAAAAAGTATTGCTGATAATAGTTAACTATTTGCCCATGACTGGGACCCTAACAGGTGCTACTACTCCGGGTCAGGGTTGATCTGGGAACACCAGCAATTAAGAATTGATTCCATGGTCCTCAAAACCTCATGGTCAGAGGCCTTGCTGCTGGACGTAGATTATGTCTAACCCAGGACATGGATGTAGTTTAACGTCTTACCCAGGACGAACATTACCGAGGAGTGAAGGTAGTTAAAATAATAGCAGTGTCAAGGGAAAAACGGTGTTTTGATACTCCACTTTTTTTGCGGGAACAATGGTAAAGGATTGTCCGAAAATACAGTTAAAGAAAAGAAAATCAGGAAAAAAAGACATGTTATTTTGGCCATGCGGTCTATGAAAAAATTCTTATTTACCTTAAATCAGAAATAGAAAGACTTTCATATGTAAAAATATCTATTTCTCGACGACATCAATTAATATCGGGGTGAGAGTGTGTGGTTTGAGGGACTTTCTTCAAACAATGATCTTCTCGAGAGGGTGCAAGAAACCCTTACTTTAGCCCCTCAGGTGGAGCACTTATATTACTTTCTGTCATTTCGTTGTCCTGTGTGAGCACATCCTAAGCTCAGTTTGGTCAACCTCTTGTTTAATCGTCAGGGCAGCTATTTGAAAATCTGATTCTGCACCTGGGGGCTATCATCTATCTTCTGATCTTTCAATGATCTGGTGTGACACCGAGTGCAAAACCTATTTTCGTATCTCTCAGGATGTACTGGGGTCATCACAGATAAACTCCTCTTAAAAATAACGGTTCAGGTGTGTTTTAACTGTTTGGTTACGGAAAGCATCACAATCAAGCAAGATTCTGTTTGTACTTAAAGCACATTGATATAGAAATTGCTGATACCCCCTGACGAGTGGATGGAGTGAGCCCGGGGCTCCGTCTATGAAACTCTGGGTGCTGAAGGTAACACCAATTAGCTAAGTGACAAACCTTTTACTTGCATTAATTCTACAGTTTATATATAAAAAAATAAAGGAGAATTAACGGTCCGTAGTAAAAACCCAAGTTTTTGTTTGCTTCTATCTTAACTGTTTACATGAGAACAGGCGCCCTCACCTACAATACTCAACCTTTAAATTCTAATGGACGTCTGATTTTCGGAAACCTATTTCAGACCAATGTTTCACTTGTAAACAAACCCAAATTCAGTAAATCTGTTATCGAAAAACGTTATTTTCGCAATAATTAAACCAAATCATGAGTAAAACGATTTTCAAAACATTGATGAGGAATTATTTTCACTCGGACGTTATTTGATGGAGAAAGTGCAATTTATTTACAGGGAGAATCTTGTAGAAACTGTCAGCTGGGAAACTGGGAAAGACTCGTTATGGGGCAAAAATAGTAACGGCCCAAGGTTTGCTGGCACCCTGGGCAAGATGAACTTCGGTCCCCTTACAAGTATAATTTTAAAAGATTTTCACAAGGAGAAAAACTGAAAATATAGAATAACGAGTTTCTACCAATATACAACTTAATAAAAACTCAAGAGAACATTCAATATCTTAACTAAATCATTTTTCTAGTCTTTAGATCTGTCAATCTTTCTATGACACTCTCTACGCCCATCTTCTTTACAAGACCATTTTCTATTGACACAAAGCCAAAGAATTTCATCTGTAGACAAAGAATTTAATGTCTTGAGTCATGGACGACCGCAAGTATATTGTCATAAGCTTTAGTTTGGGAAGATCCCTGACACATTACATGGCGGCATGATGACGCCCTCGACATTGATGGCGCCCCGGGCGACTGCCCGAGTTGTCAATGTCTTGAGCCGGGACTGGGAGCTATAGACCAGGATAAAGACCTCTAGGCGGTTCAGAGAAAGTTGAACATTTCTTACAGGTACTTATACAAGATGCGATGGGTAAATTGTCGCCATTTCAATTTCGCGCATGCGCATTGTTCGTTTTTTATCTTGTCGACTGCACAGTATAGTAGGGTCAGTTGGGCACCGTCTGTGAGAAAAACATCACCATGACGCAGTTCACTTTGCCATAAATTTGGAAGTGGCAGGCTGTACTGCTTGACATTCGTGCCGGAAGCTTCATTAGGAACATTTCAGAGGGTTCGGAAAGAGTTGGATGAGTTTAATGGTGATTACGAAGGTGCTTGAAGTGATGGCGATGTTATGCTTCCATTCATCTTCCCACAGGGTCTTAGACTCAACACAGAGGCTTACATCAAGTGCCTTGAGGAAATAGTGCTACCCTGGTCAAAGAGGGTGGATGCTGGGAGAGCCTATGTCTGGCAACAGAACTCTGCAACATGCCACGCAAGCTTTCTCCTTTTTACTATCTTTCTACCTCTTTCTTTCTCCTTTTTTTTTCTCCGACAATTTCTGCGACCACACCATCCTTTACATCTGCCCACCTATCTCCCCAGACTGCAACCCCCCTTGATTATTATTTGTGGGGCACAGTTGAGCGAGAGACCAACAAAA